GCGCCTTGATTGGAACGTCTCGATACACTGGGATTCTCAGGCAGCGTGTTCTCTTTCTATCAGTGACAACTCAATCTGCCTGTCGGATCTGGCGGCTCTGTCCCACTCCCAGAAGCTAACAACAAGGTTGAGTCAGCCCTGCACGTTGGAAGAACTTTCCCTTCCTTCATCAGCCATCATCCCAGATCAGAGGCGAGCGAAGCATGGTGAGAATGAAGAAGCCTACAGCCAAGCCCTATCGGATGGGACTGGCGCAATTCCACCTACGGCCCCGAGACGCCTCGGGCGACACGCGACTGTCAGATGGCTTTCTTGCAACGTCGAGTCATGGTCGTTGCGGTGGGTTTTTTTGATCATTGAGCTGACGCCATTCTCACTTCACCAAGCGATCTTACCTCTGGTAGCGAGGACACGTTCATCAGTCGTATCACCCAAAAGGGTAGTATTTTCTGAAAAGCGCGGAAGTGTACATTTAGGACCAATGTCCGAAAGACGATTTATTGTCGCTCCGCATCTGGTCTCCGGCGCACCGAGGTCGACGGGGGCGTACCCAAGATGTGGATGATGGCGTTGCACTGGCTGACTGACACAACTACCAAGAGGGCCGTCAGCCAGCCTCACGAAAGCCTCTTCATTCACTACACAACCACAAAATCATACAGACTGAGCCAGGCTGACACGTTCAAGGCTGGTCTCGAATTCGATCGCACCCGGGCGTGAATAATGGCTGCCGCCTCCGTCCATCCCTGTCTTAGTCGGCCTTCATCAGATGACCGGAAAAGGACGGTCGGGTACCCCAACCGTGTCCACTTTCTAGGCAGCATCAGCATCAGCATCACCAACACCAGAAGGTGAGTTAGTCGCCCTATGACGAGTAAATGTTGTTTTTTCTTCTTCTCACACCCATGTGATTGAAAGCGTGGGGAATCTCTCTTGATCGTTGCGCGGTTCTCCCTTGATCGAGTCCGCTAGACATTACACACAAAAGACTCTCAGACCTAGATCTCCTCTAGAGTCGCAATTTCCACTCACACCCCTCCCCTTGTCTCCCCTTGACTCCAACACCCATCTTCAGACCTCCATCTCCGCTCTCGCTTCTCCTCTCGACAACGTCCAAACGCCAGTCCAAAGTGTAATCAAAATCGCGACAAGTAACAATAAACAAGTTAGCCTGCTTTGCCTGCCCGGTCCTGCCCTATCCTGCCTGAGCCACCAAAAAGACACCAGCGAATCCTGAACCCCTTTTGAATTTTGGAAAAAGAAAAAGGCCACCCACCAATAACCATGCTTCCACGTCGTGACAAGTCGAGATGTGGTCTCGCATCGTTCCACGGATGAGAACGATGTCTGGATCTGACAAAGATTAACCTTCCAAAAGGGGAAGTTTTCGTAGAAAAGAGACCAACGCCCCTTGACATCTCTCCATCTTACAACCTACGCAACCGGTGATTGCTCGAGATACGTGGCATGTAGTCACATGCCAATACCAATCCCGATACCGCCCATGCCAACATCCATGGGCTCGAGGCCACTGCCGTCGCCCGGCAGGTCACGATCCTCTTCCATCATCTCGATGAGGTTGTCGAGATTCTCGTCCAGGTTCTCCGCGTCAGCTGGGGGCAGACACTTGCGCAGGAGCCGGCGGTACTTGTCAATGTTCTCGCCCGTGCCAACCATACTGAGCGCCTCGACGTAGTCAGACTCTGACTGTCTCTGCTCCGAGAGCATGGCCTGCAGCTGCCGCGCCAGCTCGAGACGGTCCTCGTACGAGGCCTCGTTGGCGTCGCCGTTGAGCATGTTAATCTCCTGGTCCACGGCCTGCTGTACATGCAGGCGGTTCTGATGTGTGATGAGAGACATTACTTGATGCTTGGCGCGGTTGGCCTCGCTGATGATTTGCGCTGCGCCGTCGTCTGCTTCGAGCTGGGCTTCAAGCTCGGCCATGTGCTGGTGTACAGCGGCGAGCTCGGCTTGCGTATTGGAGAGAATACGGCGGGCTTCCTTCTCCGCCTGATCCTTTTCGCGGAGTTCCTCGTCGTAGCTCCCCGCGAGATCTTGGAACTTTTCAATAATAAGCGGTGTGATGCGTGACTGTACCGTATTTGCGGCCTCTGAGTTGAATGATGACAGGCCGAGCTTCTTGCTCGTTGTGATACGTTCAGGCACCGCGTCGCGGAAAGAGACATGGCGCTGAGAATCGGGCGCAAAGGGTGACGATGACCGCTGAGGGCCACGCTCCTTCTTGGTGGCGTTGAGCTGGGCGATGAGGTCTTCCGCCCGCACACCTTCGTTATTAGGAATGCTGGTGGAGGCCTGCCGTCCGAGAAGTGCCCTGATGCATTTCCTCGCGTTGCGTTCTGCTGCCAAGTGAAGGGCAGTATTGCCCTGCTCATCTTGTGCATCGATGAGTTGCTGCACATAGGCAGGTTCATGCGTTTCTTGCAGCTTATTTAGGATATTGTCCAAGTAGTATCTCGAGCACGAGTGGCTGACGACCCGGCCGTTCTTCATTACTGCCGCATGGTGGATCACCGTGCTCCCTGTCGCATCACGCGCATCGACAGTCTCGAAAAGCTCCTTCATCACCTGAGGGAATGTTTGCTTTTCGTAGCAGTTGGTGAAATGCACAGCCCGCATGAAGGGAGTCTCTCCCCTCACATTCTGCACATTCAAGCTGGCACCAAAGCGCCGGAGCTGCTTTATGACGTCCACATCACCCATGGCCGAAGCCCAGTGAAGCGCCGTGTGCTCCTCCGAGTCGATGATCCAGTTCGGTTGGAAATTTGGTGGTGGTTCAGGCCGGTACGCTGGCTTCTCATTCCTGGAGAGGAGGAAGTAGTCGAGGAGCTCGTCTCCGTAGACGGAGTGCTGCTGCTGTGTCAAGTCCTGGATGGCCTCTTCCCTCTTCCTCTTTCTGTGGCCCGTGGACTGGTGGGACATGTCATAGCGGTCATCTTCGCCCATGTATGAGGCGGAGGCAACGGTCAAGTTGTCAGGGGTATCGTCGTCATTCATCATTGAGTCGCCGACCTCGTACTCTTCTGGCGGTGGCGCGCCTTGCATTTGGTTAGCAGAGGGCTGGGCCTGTGGTGGTGCTTGCTGCTGCTGTTGTTGGAAGTTCGCGGCGGGCCATTTAGGCACTGCGGGTTTCTTTGGTGCCTTTGGCTTGCTGGTGTGTCGCGGGGCGGGGGGCGGGCTCTGTTCGCCGGGGGTGTACTCGAAGATGAGCCGCAGGCGGTCATAGATGTTGTTTCGCTGGGCGAGGGCGACGCCCTTGTCGAGAGGGATCCATGTGCCCTGGTACTTTCCGTATCCGCCCTGAATCTTTTCGTGCTTTTCTTTTTGTACTTCTCGCTCGAGAATGCGTGTTCGGGCGGGCTTGTCAAAGCCGGCGGCCTTTAGGATGTGCGTTGCGTTGATCCAGTCATCTTGGCGGCGTCGCATGACATGTTCCTTGAGGTCATCTCCGAATTGGAACTCGTAGACCGGAATCTAGATGTTCATTCAATTAGCGACGGGCCCAATTGCGAAGAAAATACGGATGCGAAGTATTATGATTCGTCTCTCGGCCAGCCCCGATGATTGAGGCCATCCCCTTTCCCCGAAGGAAATAAGCTCCCAGCCTGATGCCGTCGGATGACAGTATGTCGGAATTCTTGGGGTCGAGCAGCGATTTTGCTCAATCTGCAAGAAAGAGTAACTTACACCACTGTATGTAGCGCTGTAAACGCCGGGTTGCGCATTGCCCTTGTTAACCATCGTCGCCGACCTGGAGCAAGGGACAGGCCCTGCGGAGTTCTCCTATTAGGATCAGGAAGCACGTTGGCAGTGTTGTCTGTCTATTCGACGTGAGAGAGAGGGATATCGTGGATGGGGCGGGTGCAAAGCACTTGGTGTGGCGTTTCGTTCGGGGTAGGAGTGGTAGTTGTGGAGGTGAGGGTCGATGAGGCTCGGGGTTGAGGACCGGTATCACGGAAATTTCACCAGGTTTGGAGTGGATGCACTTTGGTGGTTCGAAGGAAAGGGCACGTCGACGACGCGAGACGCGCCTTCTTTAGATTACCTTTCACGCGAAAGAGCACTTTAACCAAGCGGCTACGCGCGCGAAAGAGAAAGGCCCGAGCGTCAACACGGGGCTGTGGGGCTTACTTTCTTTTCTTCGGATGAATGAGTGGCTGAGAGCGCTCCAAGGCGAAGCATTAGAGTCACGTGCCTTTCTTCCCCTTGTGTGTGGTCCGAGCTTCCAAAGTAAGGTAAGGTATCGTCAGCAAAGGCCCAGTGATCCTTCCATCCCAAGGGTCTCTTTGAAGTCACCACGGGAACGGGCACTTGCCAACGAGTAATCTCTTACCGGCTTCACTTGCCCAGCTTACCGCCAGTAGAAAGGAGTGCAGCCTTTTCTGTGCGATACATATCAAAGATCCATTCTCTTGCAGAGAAAAGATCATCGCATTCATAGAACAACGTAGGAGTTATCGGACTTATTCGAACAAACAATGCCAGAGCTGGCCGAAGTGTTTGCCAATGGACACCCAAGAAATGCATGTTTGCCAAAGCTTCAACATGTAACTGGCTGACTCCTATCCGATTCCGGGGGGGTTTCGGCATGGTAAAGTTACAGCTCTACCGCCAGCTCGCCATTAGTAATCCCTCTTACTGGCCGCATCGGCGCCGTGACGTCTTCAGATGTCGCACGTATCTCACCTACCCCGCCAAGATGGTGGGGTCTATGGTATTCTGACTCCCATGAAGCCCACTTCGAAGCAGCTTGTCGAGCCTATCTGATCACGACATCGCCTCGAGAACGCAAACAATTGGCATTCTCGCGATACCCCCATTCCGAATCAAGGAGCTACATATTCATATATATATCTCGACGCTTCCCATTTCGCAGACACTTCTGACGGCTTGTCCACCTTTCTCAAGATAGTTACCCCCGGCGTTTAGCTTCTCTCCACTCTGCCTTACTCGTCTTACTCAAGGATCCCCCAGCTTTCATCATGCCTCTCATCGCTTCAAACCCCAAGAACCGCATCATCCTGGGTCTCATGACCTTCGGACCTGATGAGTCCGCCGGTGCCCGAATCACCGATCTCGAGACGTACAACAAGGCTCTCGATGTTTTCCAGGCCCGCGGTTACAACGAGGTCGACACGGCCCGAGTGTATGTTGGCAGGAAGCAGGAGGCCTTCACTCGTGAGGCAAAGTGGAAGGAGAGAGGTTTGACTCTCGCCACAAAGGTTCAATATCCTGGACAGCCCGGCGACCATGCTGGGGACAAGGTGATTGAGTCTGTCGAAACTAGCTTGAAGGAGCTCGGCACCGACTCCGTTGATGTGAGTGAATATGAACTGGATCATCTAGTCAGGGCTTAAGCTAATTATACGTTGATAGATCTTGTACCTCCACGCTGCGGTACGAACTGTGTTCCTGAGTATGGTCTCGGATAGTGACTAATAGTGGCTTACAGGATCGTGCAACCCCATTTGCAGAGACGCTTGAGGCTCTGGATAAGCTCCACAAGCAAGGCAAGTTCGTGAGGCTAGGCCTCAGCAACTTTACCGCGTTTGAGGTGGCCGAAGTTGTCTTGACGGCCAAGTACAACGGTTGGGTCCGGCCGACGATATACCAGGGCATGTACAATGTCATCACACGCAGCATCGAGCCCGAGCTGATCCCGGCTCTGCGCCGTTACGGACTCGACCTTGTCGTGTATAACCCCATCGCTGGCGGTCTGTTTTCAGGCAAGATCAAGTCTAAGGACATTGTTCCGACGGAGGGACGTTTCTCGGACAACCACGGCACGGGAGGCAACTACCGCAAGCGCTACTTCCGCGAGAGCACGTTCAAGGCTCTTCAGATCATCGAGAAGGCGGTGGAGGAGCACGAGCTGACCATGATTGAGACGGCGCTGCGCTGGACGGTGCATCACTCGGGCCTCAAGACCGGGGAAGCTGGTAACGACGGCATCATCATTGGTATCTCGAGTGTGCAGCAGCTCGAGGACAACCTCAACCAACTTGAGAAGGGCCCCCTTCCCAAGGCCGTGGTTGATGCGCTCGATCAGGCGTGGGCTATCTCCAAGGCGGACACGACGAACTACTGGCACCTTGACCTTGAGTACAAGTACAACACCCGGGAGAAGCTGTTCGGCGAGGGGGCCAAGTGATCGGGCTGAAGTCCAATGAGTGGGCAGAGTTCTGATGCGAGATTGCAAGAATTGCCGTGGTAAATGCGGGCAAAGTTTGATTCTTTGTAGTTTTTGTTGTATAAACGGGCAAATGGTCGTATCAGATGTCAAAATCGAGGCACATGAATGTACCCTGTTCTTGAAGCGATCTCTGGCGCGGGATGTGAGGGTGTGCATTTGTGGGTGTGGCAGCTGGGACCAATGCCAGACTTTCCAGTCATGCGACGCCATGCGTGATGGCGTCAGGCTGAAGGATGGAACATGGGCTGAGGGGAAATGCCGTTTTGAGGCCCTCTTTACCCTCCATCGTTTGTTGGTAAGCGTGGTAAGGTGGTTGAAGTTGTATGCGTACCGCCGCAGTGGTGCAGCTATGATAGCCGGGCAAACGCTAAGACATGTTAGAGGCTGACCTCGCCAGAGTTATCAGACGCAGGTGACAGGCTTGTCATTTTGCTGCTGACCGCAACTTGTGACGTGCGCGAGAATTGGCGGAAGGGTGTGGTATCTGGGTACTTGATTTGGTACAATGGTAGGGCAGAGACGACGGTGCGCAAGATAGGTAGTCGCGACCAGACGAGTTGTCTTACCTCTCCCGTCGTTTGGATACCTTTGTACTAGGTATCAAGTACGGACATTGGCGTGGGAGCGATAGCGACGGAGAGGCTGCGTAAGGTTGGAGGGCTGAGTGTTGGAGGTATTGCGTGTGCAGCATTGCAGGAGACCGAGGAGAGTGGGGGGGGGAAGGGGGGGGGGGAGGAAAGATGGGGGGAAGACCCCTTCCGCGCGAACCGCCCATGCCCGCCAATCTGGCCGTTGCCAAGTGGAAAGCAGCAAGTCAGCCAAGTTAGCTGTGTCTCGGCGGCGTAGGGATGGTCCTATCAAAAGTCACCTTACTGGGTCATGGATATGTCACTCGTCACCACCACCGGGCGACGGAGATACATCGTGAGTACGGTATGCGATACCAAGAGAGACAGCAAGTATCCGTCCGCACCCCATTGTAAAGCGAAAGTGCCTGGGTACTACGGTACCGTAGGTAATCCATTCCAACAATCCCGTGTGCCCTTCCGCCGCATCTTCCTGCATCCCGTCCCGAGGCCTGGGTTCCAGTCCAGGGCATTTCCATTTGGCAACTTCCATGCGCCAGTTTACCTCACACTAGTATCCACTCTCCACTCCTACCAAAGCAAAAAAAGTGTCCAACTGTACACATCCATTCCCGACCCAAAAGAGTCCGGCTGCAAGCACAAGCACTCGACTCGCATACTGCGTCAACTGCGTACCCCTTCCCTTCCTTACTCGAGCCAACTTGCAGCTTCTGCCTGTGCAGCAATTGGTTTCCCCATTCAAGTCACTCCTTCGCTTGATTAGCCTTTCTCTGTGTACCTTACCGTTACTCTTTCTCGGTCTCTCTTATCTCTTTCTCTCAGACTCTCGCTATTATCTCCTGGTGTCCCCCCCCTTCCCATTCTTACGTTCCTTTTATCCCTTCTTATGCCTCCCAGACTCAACACAGGGCCGGATGGAACCCTCAACCTCCCCCATTTGCGACACGATCATTCCCATAACCCTCCCTTGAGCGCAACCACATGCGATTCCAACATTTCAGATTATATCGGTAGTGGTACCAGCAGCCCTGGACTGAGCCCCGGGCTCGACCAGCGCCTGGCCGAATTTGATGCGTTGCGATCCGCCGACGACGACTACTTCAAACACGATTACGACGACCAAGACGACGAAATGGACAGCCAACGTCCCCCCCTCCTTCGAAACCACAACTCCCGCTCCGGGCAGCCTCTTCTGAACGCAAAGGACGACGAAGATGATGACCACCGCGGCAGGAGCTATTCCACTCGCTCTCGAGGAGCCAGCCCCTTGCTGACCCCAAGTCGACCGGCCTTCTCTCGAGGTTCGACCATGCGAGCCCACTCTCCCTCGACAATCACCGCGAACGCTCGAAGGAAATACATCATTGCCGCCTTCGTCCTGCTTATCAGTTTGGTCTCCTTCGTCATTCAGACCGAGTTGTCGGCATACATCCAGCAGGAACTACACTGGGATAAGGCTTACTGCATGCTCTACCTGACCCATGGCTCCTGGGTGATGCTGTGGCCTGTCCAGCTGCTGTTCCTGCGATTCAACAAGCGCAAAGTCTCTTGGGCATCCTTCTGGCGACGACACACTGAGCTGCTTCATACGACCGCCATCATGGTCCAGAGACAGGACCTTGACTATGCGCGGCCCAACCCGCAGCCCCGTGTCTCCCCGTGGAGCTATATCATCAAGACCACAGCCTTCGTTACATCTGCTCTGACTATTGGTGGCTTGAGTTGGTATGTCGCTGTGAACTTGACGACTCCCTCCGATTTGACGGCCATCTACAACTGTTCTGCTTTCTTCGCCTACGTCTTCTCTGTTCCGCTGCTCAAGGAGCCTCTGCGCCTGGACAAATCTCTTGCCGTCATCGTGGCCATTGCCGGTGTCTTGATCGTTGCGTACGGTGACACTAGTCCCGGCGAGGACGATGCCGCTCATCAGCAGGCGGCCGGGAACCGTGTCACCGGCAACCTGATCATCGGTGTCGGATCCGTCCTCTACGGTCTCTACGAGGTGCTTTACAAGCGATATGCTTGCCCGCCTGAAGGCTGTAGCCCTAACCGCGGTATGATCTTCGCCAACACGTTCGGTTCTTGCATCGGTCTCTTCACGCTTACGGTGCTGTGGATTCCGCTTCCCATTCTGCACTGGACCGGTATCGAGAAATTCGACTTGCCGACGGGATACACGGCTTGGATGCTTTTCTGCAGTGTCGTTATGAATGCGACTTTTGCCGGCAGCTTCCTGGTATTGATCAGTCTTACGAGCCCTGTGTTGTCCAGTGTCGCCAGTCTGTTGACAATCTTCATCGTCGCCATTACCGACTGGCTGCGCACTGGTGAGCCGCTCAGCGCTGCAGCTCTCATCGGAGGCGTCATGATAATGATCGCATTCGGCATGTTGAGCTGGAGTACATGGCGAGAGATGACCGAGGCCGAAGCGCACAAGGCAGTTGACCTCACCGATAGCGGCGATGATAGTGAAAGGGAGCGCGAGGACTAGGCGATTGCATAATTGGTGTCGGCGCAACACCAAACGGCGTTTGGGGAAACCCGGGTTTTGTCTTTTTTTGTCTTCAACATGGGTATTGGCATCATTACATTGGGGTCGGCGGATTACTCTGGGCATTGGATTACAACAGCACGATTGCGACAGACGTTGAGCTGTCGCAGCGGATGGAAGGAGGAGGGAAAGAAATGGCCACGGCCATTGGTTCACTGTTTGATTCACTACATCCGGGGAGCTTGGCTCCGTTGTCTGCTATTCGCTTCATTTTCTTGTCATTGTTTATTACTCTTTCTTCGGCATAGACGATATCGGGTTCGGGGTCCATGAGACACAGACCTCTTGTTAGAAAAGCAGCGAGATACAAGTTGTTGACAGCTGCTGGGTGGCCTTTCAAATGGGATGCGAATTTGCTGCGCTGCAGCTCAACTCAAGACAAGCTTGTTTCTAACTCTTAACCTTTATCGCAGTCCCATCGTTGTCGGCCGCCATGCTAATCCTCTAGATCCGTCTCCGATTCCCTCCATCCTCCTTTCCTCCCTACCGCCCTTCCACAAGTCCCAAATCTGTCATTCTCTTGGCATCCCGTAAAGGCCAGGTAAGTCAAAAACTTGAGATAGACTGCTTGCTTGAAAAGTCGGTTGATTTGAAACAGGGGAAAGGGCTCCACGTTGGGTATTAGACCAAGCTCCACGTAGGATCCCTGCATTTGGCCACTCACGATGATTTTAGGTCGGGGCGACGTAATGTCTGGCGAGATGTTGATCTTCTGCGCTTGACCCCTTACATGTCCGCTCTAAAACCCGAGGATGAGATTTGATGGTTGTTTGCTCTTTTTTGATGGAGAAGGTGAGTTGAAAGACTGGAATCACTGGGTTGCGTGGAGGGAGGTATGTGGATCTGAGTTGAGGTTAGCTTAGCTTTCTGAGTTGCCAAGTCTATTCAAATGTCACTTCAACTGCAGTCGATCTTTCTTGCTCGTTCAAGTTGAGCAATCGCAACGGGTAACCCGCATATCTCGGATAGACGGCCGGCAGGTTCGGTCTCTTTGACCGCACGGATAGGGGGAGCTGAGGTGCAGATTTGACTTTCAACGGTCATCGGCGGGGTTTAAGCAGGTTAGATTTCCCTGGGACCACGGATGCCAAAGCGGACATCGGAACTTTCGGCTGATAGAGCTGGGGGAGCACGGTTGGGGTTTCGATTTGATCGTGTTTCGAGGTAAGATTGGTTGGAGAGAAGATGGAATCAAGACTCAAGAGTTGACATCACAGATGACGGCATAGATAAGAAAACAATGCGAGATTAACTTATTCTAAACACATATGTTGGCGAAGCTAAAATCCGTCCTGAAGCCCTTTCGACCTCTTCAACTTCGTCCAAGCTCACATCCGTCAAGTCAACTACATTCAAATTTCAATGCGAGCAGGCGAGGGTTTTGGAGACTAAAAGCAAGAGTTACGTTCGCTGAACGTGATCGGAATGTAGTTCAGAAGCGTTGTTTCCCGTGCCCGCCGGGTTGGTAGCCGGCACCTCAGATACGCGGTTCGAGGAATAGTCATTAGGCATCGCCCCAGATCTCGAAGTGGGACCCGGGCTCTGTGACGGTGTTGTGGACTGATATTGATACGCAGCCGAGTTGGCGGGCTGACGATTGCTCTTGTAAGGCTCGTACATTGGAGCCGGGGTCGAGGACTGCCATTCTGACGTTGCTCTTGTAGCGGGCACTGTTGAGTAGGTGTACGGCTGGTTCGTGCCGGCTTGGCCGCTGTTGTTGTTGTTGTTGTTGTTGTTGTCATCGTCTTTGCTGGCCTTTCTGCGATTGCGTAGTATCATCCACACGATGGCGGTGACGATCAGTCCCATGACCACGAGGCCGGCAATTGCGCCGCCAACGATTGCTCCGATAGGGGGAGCATTCTCTGTTTGATTGCTTGGAGCTGAGGTCGCCGTGCTTGAGTCCAAGGGAGCAGTGCTTGGCTCTGATGGAGCAGTGCTGGTAGGTGTGGTTGACGAGATAGTCGACGGGGATGATGAGCTAGCGGAGATACTCGTAGTTGAGCTGCTGAAGGAGTCGACGAGGTAATGAACACCCGTAAACATGTTGTTACCACAGTTGAAAGCTTCAAGTGTAATGATGGAGTCGCGAGTTATAAACTTAATGCCGGTTGCGCAGAACGGAAATTTGATATCAGTGCTGGTTTGGGCGCATGTTAGCCATCTTGAAAGGATGTATTCGTAGAGGAAATAGAAGGAGTATGAAGCAACACACCAGCAAGCAGTTAAGGACCCCTGACTATTCTGTGAGCAAATGGGGCTATCATAGTCTAGACATGATGCCCAGGGAGATGATCCACAGCCGAAAATGTTGCCTCTGGTGGTGCAGGCTAGATCTCCGCAATTCCATGGATCACCATCTGTTGTCAAACACGTTAAGGAATGGCCTATTCAAAAGAAGAGGGGAAAATTCTGGAACGGATCAAAAGATAAGATGGGAGGGGAGATGAAGGAGAAGTGATGGTCTGAGAAGTATCCTGACAGACTTACCCGTCTCGAAATAACCACAATTTCGACTGGTATCCCGCCGCTTCAGAGGTATCGCGGCGAAGCGTAGATGAGGAGGCGTTGTCGGCGCTGCAGGCCACACGTCGACCTTAGCAGTTTCTGCACTGAGTCTGGCCGAGCTTGGAGGAGAATTTGCCTCGAAGCGTACATTTTCAAGTGCAACAGCCGAGGTCAGGAACCCGGCGAATGGCAGAATAGCTGAAACCGCAATCATGATGATTACATAGGCGTGAAAGAGGCTCAAAGAGCCGTTCTTAAAGTACAAAAGTTGAAGATGAAGTAAAGTGGTGGCACAAGACAGAAAATTTGGACGTGGTCTGGTCTTGCAGAGGGAAGGAACATAGAGTGCATACAAGGGGGGAATGATGGAGGTTTATTGCAGAAGCTTTGGGTCTGGTTAGAGGGACGGTCATTGAACAGCCAGGCTTAAGCAAACACGTTCATCGCAGCAAGAAAGAAGGCTGAGAACAACCCCGGACAAGCGTGCAGAGTCTCCAGCTGATGGCAGGACAGACAAGATGGAGACTAGAGAGCCTCCTGTAGTAGAGGCAAGTCCGAGGAACTATGCTAAGGCCCTGAGACAATGTCTCGTTATCAAGCTACTCATTGGTGTAGCTAGAGTTGGCTGTAGGCACGGCATTGATAGGAGCTGAAGACCAAGTGACGAGAAAGGAGGCGATGTTCTGTGGCGGCCAGGGCAAGCTGATGAGAAAAGCACACCCTTAAAATAATGCAAGTCATAGTCTATCTGGCGACTTGGCATATGCTACATGAAATGATGCAGTTTAATGAATTATATTACAGGCAGGTATTTCGACCCTCAGAAGACGATTCTGAATCCGCTCAACCTGAGAGTTGTTTTCAAAGTTTAAAGGCCAAGCGGAGGTTAAATGCTGGGTGACACTTGCACAGATTGACGTTGACATGTGACAGATATTCTTGGCTTCTCTTTCACGAAATCAGTGGCGCCGATGGCTGCACAAAGATCCTCCCTACTTCGGCCATATTAAAGGCAAACTAGTTGCCCCATTCAGGCGGAAGCAGAACGGCCCCTGTGCTTGCTAAATCGAGAACTCTAAAAGCGCGTTTCCAAGATAGAAGGCCACGTTGATTAGAATCAGACATGTACACTACTACATTACCCACAGGGTGTTCAAAGGCTATCCCTCTACCGGCCCCAGATAAGAAGAGGTCCTCGAAGCCAACTACTTTACCTTGAGGCTTCAAATGGAAGACAACTGATGCTCAAAGTATGGAAGAATACTACTTCTTGCTTACAGAAACTGCCGGGAACGCCTGAATATACAGAAACCTTACCAATACAGCCATGGCAAAGTACGTTAAGAAGAACGCGATGACAAGGCTGTGAGTTGATGAGACATACATGCAGGTGGCACACGCCAATACAAGACATCAGTTCCTACGGTCTGATTCATGTGCAGATTGTGTAACAGAGATGACTTCGGATATTTGAGGTTCCGTCAGAATTTGGACACATGCACAACGAGTCTGCCATAAGGCTGTAGCAAAGTGGCGTGCTCCCACACACCACTAAGCTATTATGCGGTGACGCCACTCTCGAATGGTTCAACAATAAGAAATCATAATACGAGCGCTTCGAGCTTTCCACAATCAATCGGCGATTCTCGTTCAGAGTGACGAGGCCCTTACATGACCGATGATAACAAACCCTACAGTCTACGAGGCAAATATCCCCTGCCCCATTCGTAAACAATTCAAGTTCGCGTGTGCCAAATCAAGTATATGGGAAGGCTCTCAGCGAGAGATTGCAAGGCAAGATGAAGCTTTCTCATTTTGACTCTCTTGTGGAGCCCTGGTTTCGTGGAGCGCAAGCTCTCCATCCCAGACCCCTTTTCTTGAGCAACATGGCCAAAGGGGCTGCAAATAACATGGTGAGTGAAAAGATGCCAAAGCTCCAGCCCAAGCCCGTGGCGTTTGCCAATGGCTGCTGAGCCGCAATGGCAGCGCCAGCTCCGATGCACCGTACAAGATTGTACGACGCCTGGACTGTTGCTGATGCTTCGGGGTTCAAATCCGTCAGAAGGGTGCCGCAAATCTACAGATATTTAGTTAAGAACCATAAGATACGGTGGTTGACCAGGGCGGAAATTTGCACTGACCGTGAAAATGCTCGAGGTTGTTGCACCACTGATGAATTGCATTGCCAATGGCACGGCAATATGCTAAGATGGTCAATGAGGCTTTAGTCTCCGAAGGTCGCCAGCCTGGGGTACTTAACCCAAGCCTAGGACCAGCGGGTGATGTACTACATACCGATTTTTGCATGAGACTCGCTCCGTAGCCTGCGGTGGTGACTGTGCTAAGAGCAACTAACATGTAGATCCCGGCGAGCCGTGCCTCCTCGATTGGAAAGTCCGATATGTCGTCACCTCGACGATATCGGCTGTCTCTTCCTTGCCTGATGGATAATCTCTGGATATTTCTATCTAGAAGTTTACCTGCGAACCCGTCAGTCCAGGCAAATTTCAAATCGTGTTTTACAAGCGTGATGTGTGCACGTAATACGGACCTGTCGTATAAGATGCTAAAGCGCCTCCCACCCCTGAAGGTAGGTAAATGAGTCCTGCTTCTAGATGATTCAACTTGTAGATATCAATGCACTGAGCTGACAGTGGGCTTTGCAATGTCATTTTGACAGCATAGGTTATGGAACCCATCAGGATAACGCTGAAGTTGCCTTTGGAGAACAACATCGAGATGCACTTGAAAGGGTTGGGAATGTGATATCGCCGCTTGCCGCCCTGTAGTCCTTGGTCTTGTCCCAGGGTGTCGATCTTTCGGTGCCGTGTGAGGGAATCAAATAGACTTCTGTGAACTCCGTGGAACTTAGAACTCCCATTCCCTACAATTCCACGTTGTGTCTCTGGGAGCAGAGTGATAATGAGGAGTAGGTAAGCACCGGTCAGTATGACCAGAAACCAGAATATCCATCTCCAACTCAGCTTCTCCGTGAGTAGCCCGGCGATGACCGGGCCAAAACTTGGAGCAGCATTGGTACTTTATCAATCTAATCAGCAAGAATTTACAATGATGTTGAATAAAAATCAGAAGCTTAGCAGATGTTTGACCAAGGATCGACCTACAAAACGAGCATAGACCCTACGTAGGACCCGCGTTCATCGACCGTGGTTATGTCTGCGACAATCCCATATGCTGCGCCGTATGAACCTGTGAAGTATTCAGCCACGTGGTATTTGCTGAGTTACCTCAGTGCTTTATACTAACCAGATGCTCCCGCGCTTTGTACCATACGCAAAATTAACAGAGCAGGATACGAATTCTGCAGCGCCAATCCAATATTTGACGCAACGACGAGAGTGAACATTAGGATGTATGCGGGCCTTCGACCGCCTTGATCGGCGATATCGCCCATGAAGGCTGGTGCGATACCCGCTATGATCAGATACGAGGTGACGGTGAGATTGATGAGCGCAATGGAGACGTTGAGATCAATGGCCATAGGTACTAAAGCTGGAAAGTAGATGTAACTGCTCAAGGTGGAGAACATGGCGCCGAAGGAAGCAACATTGCTGATCCATTTCTTCTCGCCAATTGTGAATATTGAATATGGCTCTTCTGGTGCCATCTCAGCGAACGGCACTATTTCTTTGTCGTCGTTGGAGATTTGCTTGACTGCCGTTTCTGATGACTCGGCTGCAGCCATCTTGATGTCCGTAGATTATGTAAAGACCGCTTCTTGTGGCTGATTGTGATTATGAATAGATCGCACAAATTCCAACTGACCTGAAGTCGTCTATTTCGTTCTTCTGGTCATGTTTTTCGGTGTTTCATTCAAAGAAACATCAATGCAATGGTGGAGGTTAATCTCCGCTCGAACAACCAACATCGCACTTATCGTCTTCAAAGAGAGCCGCTTTGGGCTATGAGGACCGACAAAGTCGGTCATCATACGTCAGGTGACAATGAGAATGCCGATTGGCATTACTTCAACATGCTGCAGAGCGATGGCACAGCTCTCAAGACTCTACGGATGCTACCCTGACAAACGTAACGCATAAGCTAATTGAATACAGTGGGAATCATGGCGGTTAATTGAGTAGAAAGAGCATGGTTTACTGCCTCCCTAGATTTTATATCAGTATCCTTTCCTCGAACTCCAAAAATCCGTGAAAGATCATCAAATGCTCCCCTCTTCCGAACGCAATCGCTGTCTTTGAAACAATCTTGATCACGGCATCAGTCCCACTACGCCATATGAGTGGTATAAAGAAGTGACGCGTGAAATGATGCGCATCTGCTATCTTCCTGAGGCTAATTGAGCAAATCCATCCAGCCATATCGAGGAAAAGCAGACTCGATTTAATACATCCAATTACATATTGCAGAGACGTAGATGTGATATGTAAACTCTGAGTCAAAATCACCTCCGTTGAAGCTGTAATCTTGGAAGCTTCGACGGAGATGATACCGCTAGTTTGCTTGGTCGCGTGGGAAAGGCCCTGGGCTAAGTAGGTAGAGCCTTTGCTGCTGATCCATGAAAGGCAATCCTTTGACACTTGGATTTGGGGGTACGGAGAGAGGCTGATTTCCTTGCAGACTCTTTTCAGATTACACCATTCATAGATATGGAAATGGTTGTCTTTGAAGGCGAGTAAATGGGAAGGACTCGATGGATGTTTCAACCACCAGGCTCCCTTGAGATCCTTCTCTTCTCCCATCACAGTTCCGTCAAGGGCAATCAAAGTCGCACTTGAATCTGTACAGACCAGCAGTGATTCGGCTTCCGGACTCAAGATTATTTGAGATGTATCACTATCACCTCTGCGGTTGAGCAAACAAGTAACTTTTGCTCCGGGTCCACTCCCTACGGAAGTAACTCTGGTGACGATGTGACGCCAAGTAGTATCGACACTGAGAAGCGTACACGTGTCTTCGTTCCAGTCTAAGGACTTTATCTCTGCAAATGCATCGTGAATCCGGAGCTTCTCGACAATCTCGCCGGTGGCTAGATCACTGACACCAACTGTGCCATCCAGGCGCCCGACGAGTACCATGTCGTCGGCTGGCTCAATGGCTGTGATGCCTTCTCCCCACTGATACACATGAGAACGAGATGCTTTTATTTCCGGAAGGAGAATTTCCTCGCTGGAACATGAAGTCTCTAGGGAGTTGTCATCATATCCGTCTTTGGAAAGTAGGATAATCGGCTCCCAGACGTTGCAGCATTGCCCCCTGATGTCGAAAAACCGGAGATTATCTGCTTAAAATGCGATGTTTTGATTCCTTAGTTGATCTCCTGGTAACCGAATGTGGTAAATCGGCTGCAAGGTTGCAAAGAGGAAAAGGTAGATACCTCCGTCCTCTCCCGCACCTGCGAGAACCCTGCCATCTGAGGTAGTGGATAGAACAGATAGCAACGTTTGAAGATGGTACTTGTTCGCTTGGTCTTGCGTCCATGGATTGCAAGTTACCAAGTCGCCGTCCTTGTATGATATTGCTAGCAGCTCAGCCTCAACAATTGGATTAAACACCATGTCTATGACTTGCGAGGTAGCGTAAACATAGTAAGAATCGTCCTTCTCAAAGTTGCCGACGTAGACAGAAGTATTCAAGTCCCAAATTGAGACTGAAGCACTTCTGTAAGATAACGCGGCAAGCTTGTGGTATGAGTCAAGGCGTATTTGCACTGCTCGGGTCCATAAACCAAGTTTGTTATCGATTTCATCCGACGAGTCTGAGTCCCAGGCCGAGGGGGCATGCAAAAGTTTGCGCTCTGTTTCTTGCCCATCTTCGATATGGTAAATTACCAAAGAGCTACCATGAGGATGAGAAAGAATTATCATTTGTTCGTCATAGTCGAATGAAACTGATCCTGGAGTGAAGTCGATATTTCGTGACCAAATGGGGGATAGCCTGATAGTTTCTTGAGACCAGTGGGTGTTCCATAGTTGTAAGTTCCGAGAACTACATGAAACTAGCACTGAAGAGGCCCGGTTGAAAGCGAGGAGGCGAACCCTCTTCCCGTGATTCAATGTAGCAGCTGCATCAAATGCCCCCGACCCAGCGAGGTGGAATAATCTGATTTCTCCGCTGGCAAGACCAACAGCCAGTAAACGAGTGCAGCAAGTGACTGCATACGCCTCTTCTGAGAATAGGTATCCCGTCAATCTATCGTTCCAATCTTCTTCTCTCGGACCTGCAATTCGAAGTCGCTTGGTCGGCTTTGCGAAGAGCTGTCCAATCATTGACTTGGGTGGGCAGAAGTGTGGGATGAGAAAGTATATTGACGATGGGTAGGTCAGAAGAGCAGAATGGAAGGCGGCGAGGATGCGGTAGATATCATTTGCCCATGTTGCGATAGTGTGGAACTCCATACTGATAGGAGACTGACATCTGGTCAGGCGACCCAGGTATGTCTTAAGCCTCTGTGCAGTGAGCTGCAATGTCCACAGGTCCCCAGCTGCAGCTATTCGTTCAATCCAGGTCAGAACGTTGGTAGTGAAAAACTTTGTTAGGAGGAGAAGCAAAGACCCAGTGGCTGAGGAGGCTTGAACGAGATGGCAAGGGAAGCTGCGTGCAGCATACTCTGATAGCGGAGAAAGAGTAGTTATCCTGGCCGCTGCGACTCCTCGATGCGTTCTTGGTGGCGCAAAATTCGAACTGCATAGCAGGCCGAGACATTTTCAGCAATTTCTGAATGCGCTTTCTCAGTGTCAACCCAGAAGCCGTCGTCTCTTTGTTGGCTTAAGAAGGCTGACGTCGTTAGATGTGCGATGCGAATATATGACTGACCATCCACGACAATGAGGTGTCTCGTCATGCTCTCCAGCTCTCTTGCATTGGCTGCCAAAGTCTTCCCAACATCGAGCTTCACAGCCTCGGCTAGCTCATTGATGTGAAGCGGTTTTGGCGAACAAATCGCCCACTTCAACGCGCATTCGATCAGCTTGGCGCTAGGGGATTGGGATATCAAATCGAGTGTGCGGGAATATAGCTCGTCCATCCGCCGTGGAATTTGTCGCAAAATATCTTGCTTGTCTTCTACACTGTATGCCTTCTCCAGACGGCCTACTGTGAGGGACGTCCATAAGAAATTGCCGTCCGCTTTTGCAAGAACATCGGCAACAAGATTTTGTATGCCATGGTATTGATCAGCATCATTTGTCTGAAGAAACATGGCCTCAACAAACAATTTGATGTCTCGAAGAGAACCTTCTTCGCCCGTGGTTATCTCCACAAAATCGGTGCGTTCCAGTATTAAATACCGCCTAACTTGCGCATCAGGTCTGCTGGTGACCAAGACTCGTATGGGTAACGTTTGTTCCATGTTGGACAGCATGGAAATCAAACTAGGTAGATCTTTCAAAGAACATTCGTCAATCGCATCTATAACCCAGAACTGGGGCCTGTTGAATTCCGCTTTGAAAATGCATTCGGTGAAGAGAATTGCCCAAAGAACATAGTGATCCTCAAACTTGATTGGTCTGTCGTCCTCGGCCATAGATGCCAGAGCCTGGCGCACCTCAAAGTTAGAATCGGCCATTTGAAATGCTAATGATCTCATCAGAAAGGCTAGAGTGGAGGAAGAAGTTTCCTTGTGCCTGAAGAAGTAGAAGCTGCAGTCAAGGTTGCAAGATTGAAGATGTCGGATTACATGGCCGGCAGCGATAGTCTTCCCGGCCCCGGGGCGGCCATTGAGCCACAGGACCTTCGAGTTCAGATCTCTGGAATGCTCTGACAACGACTTTTTGTCGTCCCAATGAACGACCGGCCCATCGATCCATTTCTGGAATTTGTCATTATTTGTCAACCACTCACAGGACCCTAGGTGCTGCTGCTCGTTTGTCGCAAGAAGAACTGTGTCCGGCCGTTGATCGATACACAAAAATGCAGCAATTTTCCTCATTATGGATTTATGTTCTTGTTGGATTTGAACTAAAGCTGAAGAAGTCAATACTAATTAGCTTGACATACAAAGTATCTTGGAGTCTCAAGGATCGGCTCACTGACAGTCCCGATCTCTGCGACTATGGTATGGAAGGCTCGTCGTAGAGTCAAATAGTTCGGATTGCTAGGCGAATCAAATTTACACATTTGTCGGTGATCGGCCTCGAGATACTGAACATGTTCTCTGGGTAGCCCTAAGTAAGCCCAAAGTTATTTTCAGAAAAAAACAAGTACGACGAGTATGCTTAGCTGGATGTGAAAGCATTGCTTACCAAGGATGGCAGATTCCTTTTCGACAACTAAGGAGGACGTGGGACCGAAGCTCATTGGTAAACTCTCAAAGAAAGACCAGAGGTTAATCTTGTGGCAAATATGTCTAAACTCGTCGTTGATTTGCTATATTGAAGTAGGGTATGTGAGATAGTTGGTTCCAAGCGCGTTGATGAGCCATTGCTTAAACTTACATCTAGTGTCCCACTGCCGGGAATCAAATCATCTAGAAACGGCTTTGACCCATACCCAGCCGACTGACGGACCAATTTCGCGACACTTGCAGAATCAGCTCCGCGATGAGGCGTGCCCAAGAATAATATAGTATGGATTCTCCTCCCAATAGCTTCGTAATTCGGATCACGCGTGGCCATGAGGTACGCCTGGAGAGTATCAATACTTCACTACAATTTCGGAGTACAAAGTCCTGTTAGGCATACCTTTTTGGCCACCAAGCCACCCATGCTATGGGCTACGAACACAATC